GCCTTGCCAGCCCGCTCAGTGAATTCAAACCCTTTCGGTTCCAACGGGGTCCGGCGCTCAGCCCGAGCCCCCACTGGTCGTTGCCGCGGAACGGCGCGGCCGGCCCTTCGCCGCCGCCGCCGCCGCCAAAGAGCTGCTCCTTTTCCTGCCACCCCGTCGTCGGCGCCGCGGTAAACGGGCCGAGGCGCAGGGGAGGGCCGTTCTCGAACCGACCGCCTGCGCCGGGCTCGTGCGACTGCTGGCGAGAATGCGCATGGCCGATGGGGGGCACATAGGCGGCCGCCGAGATCGGACCGCCCATCTGTCCCGGCGTCGCGCCGGCGCCCCTGGCCAGCACATCTCGGTTCGTGATCAAGGACGGGAGCTTGCGTTGTTGGCCGGCTTGCATCTGGATGTCCGAGGAGCTGCTCCTCGACTGCAGGCTCGGCCGCTCGGGCAGGCCGTGGTGTGCGTCGGCCGGGTCGCTGGGGATGGGCTGGAACGAGCCTCGGATGTCGAGCTTGGCTAGACTGGCGTGGATGTCCATCAGCGAGCCAGATGGCGAGTCCGAGGAGGATGCGACGCGCCCGTGGACCGGAGCTGACGCATCCCGCTGCTGCTGCTGCTCCCGCTGCTGATCGGCCATCCTGCCTTCGGTAGGCGATGGAAAGCTGTTGGCGAAGCGCGAAGGCGATCCGATGGTGTGGCCGCCGGTGTGACCCCAGGGTGTCTTGGAGTAGCTGCTGGGCGCGATCGGGCTGCTGGCCGCCGACATGCTGAGTGTGGGCTGGCGCGGGCTGAGGGCCTGCTCGATCTCGGCAGAGATCGAAGTCGACGGCGCAGGCGCAGCCGTCGATGTAGTCTGTCGGAGCAGATCCGACGACCGTGTCGTCAGCCGGCGGCCGCCGTGGTGGTGGTTGAGGGACTGGTGCCTCCGGACGAAGCCGGGGCCCAGAGGTGACGATGCCGAAAAGCCCTGTTCGATCGCCTCCATGGCGCTCGAGCTGCCGCTGCGGTGGTGGCCTTCGAAGAGGTGTTCGCTGTGTGCGATGGGCGAGCGTGGTTGGTTCGAGGTGGCGGCCGAAGGGAATCGTTTGTGCATAAAGAGGGTGTCGGTCCAGAGGGCGTCTAGCGTTTCCTCCTCCGAGTCCTTGGACTGGTGGAAGCCCAGCGTGGCGTTGAAGGAAACAGAAGGACAGGTGGGGAAACAGGACGAGAGGGGACAAGAAAGGGGGAGCGCAGACTCTGCCTTCAGCAGCGCGCACGCGCAGAGGGGGTCCGTGCATGCAGGGTGGACAGGGCCGACAATGCAGCCGGCTCCTGGACCCACGTCGACACGCTGGCAAGTCCAGACTGACGCAGCTACTCACGTCATCTCCTAGGGCGCCGCCGGCGCGGATCATCTTTTCCCAGTCGTGCTCGTCGTGGTCGCTCCCGCCTGTGATTGCCGAGAGGCTGTTGAAGAGGCTCGAGCGTCCCTGGGTCGCGCTGGCCGGCATATGCGAGGTCACTGCAACGGGGCACGAGGCGCGGAATGGTCAGGGTCAGTGACGGAAGGGTCTCTCGATGCCGCGATGCGATACCGCAGGGCCTGGAGGAAACACGCGACTCACGTCGAGAGGAATGCCGCGTCGGCAGCGAGTTGTTGCGCGAGACGTTCGCCTTGGAGTAGAGCGCCTGCAGGGGGGCCAGGTCGGTGAGGGGCTCGTCGGCGAAGCCCGAGCTGTTCGGAGGTGAGGAAAGGGGGTCGCTCGAGGGATGGTGGACGTAGGACGAGGACGACGATCCGCGTTGGTCCCCATCGATGCCCAGCGAAGAGTGGCCGGCGGCCGAGCTCGTCGCGTGTCCGGCGCCGTAGAGCTGCTCGAAGTTCTCCGGCTGCTCAAAGTGCTTCTCGAGACGGGGCTTGTCGTTCTGGCGGGCGCCGTGGATGGTGTGGTTGCGGCGGACGGAAGCACCCGAGGAGGGCGCGGGAGGTGGGCTGCGGAGAGCGCCGCCCGAAATGGTACCCCATCGGCTGCTGCTCTGCTTGCTCGGGCTGCTGTGCGTGCCGCCAGGCGTTCCCGGCGGTGGGGGCGTCGAGGGCGGGGGCGTCACCGACATACTGCTATACGTGTGGCGCTGATGCCGGGGACGGTGATGCCACGGCCACGCGTGAGCTGTTGCTGCCGGAAGCGCAGTCGAAGTTCAGCGCCGGTCGACGGACGAGGGCGAGCGGTGGCAGAACTGAGGCTACTGCCGATTTGGCCGCAGTGGCAACAGAAATGCTTGACAGAGGTGCACAGTGACACGGGGCAAGGTTGCGAAAGACAGACTGGTCCGGGTCGGGACGGCAGGTCGGTGGCCAGAGCGTAGTTCGAGGATTCCTGCTATGCGAATGCGAATAAGGGCGGAACGAGGTGGCAGTCGGAAGCAAAAAGGCGCGGAAACCGATGGGAGCAGGAGGAGAGGCAGGGTCCGTGTGCGATGCTGGGGCGAGCGGCGGAGCAAGAGAAAGAGAGTCGTTGTCCGGGTTCGACGGAGGATGGAGCGGGACGGAGAGCAGTGCAGGCTTATCCTCGGGCCGGGGCGTTGCCAAGGTGCTTCCTATGCAGCTCAAGCACGAGGGTGCGGTGGGTAAGGTGACCAAGTCGAGGAGCGGCGGTGCGAGGGCGATAAGGACGGCGCGGCGGACAAAGGCACCTCGAGTCCGTCCAGGTGGTACACGACACCGACGGCGGCGGCGGTGGCGCCCGCGTTGTGTGGGTGCGAGCGCGATCGAGACGACGACCACTAGCTGTCGGCGGTCGAGTCGGCGGAACGAAAGCAGGAGGGGAGCTGGCGGTCGATCTCAGAGGTGGGGGGAGGGAGGGCAGCAAGGCGCGCGCAGGCGGGTCAATAGAGTGGTGGCCAGCAGCAGGCAAGAGGCAGACATGCCGTCGGTCGGTCGGGCCTGGTGACCGGTGGCTGTGTCTACAGCATACAGTCGCGGCTGTCGCGCCGACGCTAAGACTTGACGGCGGACATCCCTCTAGCCCGATTTGGCCAAATCGACGCCGATGATAATTCTTCATCGGGGAAAAACACCCCGATACGTGACGCTAGGCGCCCCAACGTTCCTGGCTCTCCATGCTGCGCGCTGCTAGGCTCTTGTCAAGGGGCGACAAACATCAGCTTCGCACATGGATCTATCTGCCTGCCTGCCTGCCCGCCTTTGCAGCTGGGAACCAAGAGGGCATCCCGCATTACCCTCGGACGTTTGGCGTGGCGGCGGCGGCGCACGAAGGCACCAGCCCAGGCGGGGCCGTGCCCGGAGTGACAGCCGTCGCCTCGTCAGCAGGGTCCTACGCGTCGACGAACTTCACGCCAGCGTTGTTCGCCACCCGCCGCTATCGCCTCACATTACTCTCCTTCCGGTCGTCCTCCGGTCGTGGACCAGGCCGTACGGCCGCACGATTGAACAGGCTCGTCACAGCAGGCGTCTCTCAAATGTCGGAGCTGGGCCAGCATGACCACGGCAAACGAATACGGCCGGTCGAGATGGGAGCAGTGTAGCAGGGTGTGATATTACCGGAGGCGGCGATGCGATGGGCTACGAGGAACCGGAGTGCGTCGGTATCTGCAAGGCAAGCGAGGTGTCGCCGTTCGGAACTCTACTTGGTCTCGTCGCGGAGGTAGGTGATGAGGTCGTTGCGGTCCTTCTCCTTCTTCAGACCGGCAAAGGCCATCTTGGTGCCGGGGATGTACTTCTTGGGGTTCTCGAGGTACTCGAAGAGGGTCTCCTCGTCCCTGCAGAAATGGGAACATGAATCGACAAGCGCAAGAAGGTCGTTAATTGGTCGTCCTTGTGACGGAAGGGCGTTCACTCTCGTGCTCCTCGAGGTGCGGCGCCGTGGCTAGTCGATCGCCCTCGCACGCGTGACAGCACTAGAGGCGAGGCGAAACCGGCCTGCCCATCCTAGCAGAGCGCCGGAGCTAACGCAGCGGCGAGCATGGCACACTCACCAAGTGACACCCTTGTTGATGTTGGCCTGGGTGTAGCTGAAGCCCTCGACGGAGCCAGTCTTGCGGCCGAAGAGACCGTGGAGGTTAGGGCCGACTGTGGCGGGAGTAGACATGGAGCGGAGACGACAGAATGTCAGCTCAGAGATCCGTGGTGTATTCCGAGTACCAGAGAGGCCAAGGCGACCGTTGCAAGACGGCCTGTGGCGTCCTCCCGCACTGCCATCCGGGCGCGCATCGAGCCGTATCGGGAGGCAGATAGCTCCTTTTATCCAGCAGCGCATGAGCTCCAGAGGCAGCTCAGATGCGTGAAAGCTGTCCAGGCCTCGCCGTGCCGGGCGCCGCCATTGACGGGGAAGCCAGTCGCAGCGAGCGCAGTGCTCCGCGGCGTCCGCCAGACCCGGTAATCGCCCGTCATCGCCAACGGAGCGGACGCTTGCAATCGGTCGACCTTGCGTCGCCAGATACTAACCCTTGTTGGGCTCGCCAGCACCGAGGGTGTGGCACTGAGCGCAGCGGGTCTTGAAGAGACCAGCACCCTTCTTGAGATCGCCGTCCTTGAATCCCATTGTGAGTTGTGTGGTGGTGTGGGTCGGGGTTGGTAGAGGGAAGTTGATGTGGTTGTGGGTAGTGAGGGAAGGTCGGAAAGAAGGGTTCAAGGTGGCTGGCGGTCTAATAGATGAGGGAGGCTAGAGGTGGCGGACCCCGGCTGCCCTGCCCCCCCTTGACTCACGGGGGCGAGCTCCTGGGCGACGGGGGCCCAGCTCAGTCGGCCAACCAAACCGCCAGCCTCTTGTCAGCAGCCAGCCACGGCCCAGCCAACCCCACGGCAGCGAGCCGTTGGGCGATCTTTGTCGTTCCTCGCATGCGCCCTTCGTCCTGGCCTTGCTTGCTTGGCCTGGCCGGCTTGGCTCGGGTCATCCAGGGATCGGTCGGCGGGAGCGGCCGACGATGAATTTTTTTCTCGTCGCTCGTTTCGTTTCGCTTCGTTTCTTCGCGGGCGGCTGCCGGAAAGGGCGGGCTGCCTGCAGGCGGGCGCGGCCCAGCCAAGAGCCCAGGCAGGGTTTGTTGACTCTCCACTGACCTCATTTTTCCAGCAGAGGGCAGGGGCAGGAAGGGGCCGGGCGGGTTGATTTGAAATCCAGGCCACGCCGCTCGCGCTCCTCAACCGGCCCTTTGCCTCCGCCTTGCATGCAGCCTTCCTTCCCAACCCTCTGTTTGCCCGCCGCGCCATCGGTGGGTCCCGGTCGACGCCGATGGAGGATGCGTTCCCGATCTTAGCTAAGGTGAGGTGCGACTGAGCCTCGACGCTGGCCTACGCCACCTGTCGCCCTCAGCTCTCCGTACTGTACGAGCTCTTCGCACATCGAAAAGGCCAGGGTTGAGTCGAGCGGCGTGATCTGCCAGCAGGCAGGGTCAGTCGTTGTCGTCGCAGCGGACCGGGACGGCGCAAGCAAGCTGCAGCTTCCGGGCACGCGGGCGAAATCGCCAGCTGCAGCAGACCGCAGGCAGTCTCGATTCGCCCGACGAAGAGCGAGCGAGTTTGCCGTTGCGTGTCCTCGCCGCGCCACCGCCCCCCAGACCCGCCCCGTCGTCGCCGGCGCCGGCGCCGACCAACCCTTTGCCAAACGCTCGAATCTGGTTGGTCCGTTTGGGCGTTCACCTTGCTGGACATCCCCTGCTCACGCCGGCTCCGAGCGAGGACCTCCCGACCCCGCGTCGTGGTCATCGCATCGCCGTGGCGTGGCTCGTCATACACCGCTCCTGCCTCGCAATGATGCTGAGTCGGGGGCCCGAACGAGGGTGGACCGGGAGTGGGAGCCGCCAGGATGACGTAGGAAGGGCGGCGCTCCGAGGGAGGACTTTGGCATGCCAGAAGCCTGGCGGCCTCGTTTTCGCCGATCCGATCGACAGGGCCCGCTTGTTCGGGCCGGCCCGGGATGGAGGGCTGCGTGCCACCTTCTTCGGAGCCGAGCTCGGGCCGGCTCTGCCAGCCCGTCTACGTCACCGACGTGTCAGGCAGGGTCTGCCACAGCGCAAGCAAGCAAGTACTTCACGTGCCGGCCTGCTCTCCTTGAGCCACCACACAATCGCACACCGAACTCCCTGACGAGTGGATCATCTTGGAACGTCAAAGAGGCAGAGGCCGTCAGCATTCATGATACAGGGTTGGGTAACGGGGAAAGGTTGGGGAGAAGAGGACTCCTTCTTCCCGAGAGGTCGTTTGATGGGGTTGGATGGGCAGGGCAACACACAACTACATGAAATGACGGGAAGAGCGAAGGGCAAATAGGACGGGGCAGAGAGGAAGACGAAGACGAAAAGAAAGAGGCAGAGGCAGAGCGAAGAAGAAGGCGAAGAGCGTGCGTGTCGAGTGGGTGGACTCGACTGGTATATCGGGCTCGTCGTGTTGGGCGCGTTGGGCGAGGAAAGTGTGACGTGTTCGTAGCGTTGTGTGGGCCGTTCGGAGACCCTTCAAGTGGCTATCCGAGCGCGATCATCGCGGCTTCGAGTCATGGTAGCGGCAGGGCGCTGTCTGACAGCGGTTCGAGTGGCGAACAACGACACCGATTAGGCGAGGCCCTCCTTGACCGACCTGCCGCCGCGGAACGAGCCGGCGCCGACAAAGGCGACGATGCCGAGCATGAGGGTGAGGATGATCCACGCCATCCACGAGAAGGCCTCGAGCGCCTTGACCGAGTTGCAGTAGGGGAACGAGGGGCCGCGGTTGCCGCAGCTGCCGTCGACGTTGTTGGTGAGAGCACCGGCGCCGGCGACGAAGAAGAGCCAGGTGAGGAAGATCCAGATGCCATGGCCAGCGATCGAGGTGAGGATGCCGCCCTTGCCCGTGAGGAAGAAGACGGTCTGCGCGGTGGCGAGGAGTGAAGAGGGCAGAGCGAAGTGTAGGACGGGGTACGGTCAGCGACACTGGAACCCAGACGAACCGTGGTGGTGCATCGCGCGCTCTTCTGGCGCCCTCCGCGGGGCCCTTCTGGAATCAGTACACGAGTGATAGCATCGGCTCGACCCGCTCCGCCATGGCTGGCTGGTGGCGGGCGGCCTCATCGACAAAAAATATTCTAAAAGAATAACCATCCTGCTGACTGCGCCATGGGGGGATCCCAGACCCACAAGCGAGCTCCACGCCGTCCTCTGGGAGCACTCTGGGCCCGGAAGCCACCGCTTCGGTCGCAGTCCCACCGAAAGGGGCCCAAGGGGGACCGGAGCCCTGCCTGCGAAACACCACGACGAGCCAAGCGGCAAGACGAGACACTCACAAAGAGGATGCCAAAGAGGAAGCCCCACCAGCCGCAGAAGACGAGGAAGCGGACGGCGCCGTTGACGCCGTCGCTGGGCGCGTTGTTGTTCGAGTTGTAGTCGCTGACGAGTGTCGAGGCAATCACGGCGGTGATGAAGCTGAGCGCCGTGAAGAGGATGAAGATGATGGGGTGACCCCTTCGGATCGCGGCAGAGGTGTCGACCATTGTGAGAGCTGCAAAGGCCGGTGAGGTGGCTACCTAGCGTAGGTTTAGGGACGGCTGGGGTGAGCGGTAGCGGCGATGCTTGCAAAGGCTAGAGGCGCAGGGATGGCGATGGCGATGTCGCTCGGGTGGTGGATGAGGATGGTGGTGCGGAAGGGGATGGATGAAGGCAACGGTAGCGGCGGGCCGGCAGCTGCCCTTTTAAGCTTCCTTGCCAACGGAAGCCGTCACCGACCTCCTCCTCTCTCTCTGCCGGCGCGGAGATTGCAAAAAAGGTGCCAAGAGGGCAGCCGAAGGAGGCAGGGTGGGCGCGCTCTGGAGAGTCAGCTCCGTCCAGAGCCTGACTCGGCCCCCGAGCCCAAGCCAAGGGCATGCCGGCCAGACCCAGCCTGCGGCGGGTTGACGTCTACGTCGGCTCCCTCGCTTCGCGTCACGACCTCGATTTGCTCGCCGGCCTGGCACAGCCCGCAACCCTGACACCACCTCTCCTCCTGGCTTGCTGCTGCCTCTTTGCCTCGAGGCTGACTTCCACCAGCCAAACAGCACCGCAGCTTGTCGCCACGCCTTCCGCTGCCTCGCAAAGTGCTTCTGTGCACGCACAGCCATCATCTAGAGGGAATGCCCTGGGGCGGTGTATGTTGCGGCAGGGCGGTGGGTCGGTCGCTGCTGCCCGCTGCGCTGCTGCCCACTCTTGGTGCCCTTCGCTTGGGCGATGGAACTTTCTGCGGCGGCCTAGCCTGGGCTGGCCTGGGCTGGCCTGGGCTGGCCTGGCCTGGCCTGGTACAGCTAGTAGGCCCACGCTGCGTCTCTGCAAAATTAGAGAGGGTGGGGCAAGGGCTGCCGCGGCCAGGATGGAAAAAGGGTCGGGCAGATGCCTGCCTGCCTTCGCCTGCCGCTCGCACGTAGCTCGACGTCACTTGATTTGCAAGGTGCTGCCTCAGCGGCAGGTGCCTGGCCTCGCCCCCGCTCCTCGACCGGCTGGGCTTCCCTCCACCTCCGTGCCACGAACCTGACCTAGTTTGCCCCGACACGGACACGACGCTTCCCAACCGGCACCATACAGCCTCGGCGCCCAGCCTCCGCGCTGCGCCAAGTCGGACGGCGTGCGGCCCGCCAGCAGCAGGCCAAAGACATGCGCAAGCTAGCTCAACTCTCGACGCTGTCGCCATGGCGCCGCCGCGAGACGTCCCTCTTTTCCTCTCTGCGACGCACCGTTCGGCACGTCCGACGGACATCCCGAAGCCGAGCGAGGAGGAGCTTGGCTTTCGCCCTCTCTGCGCGGCCGGGGATGATGAGCACCGCCGGATGCTTGCCGGCAGCGCATACCACAGTCGCAGGCAGGCATATCCCGGTCGCTGAGGAAGAAAAGGTGGTTTTTGAAGGTCCGCCAGCCATCATCCGTATCATGCCATGACGGAAGGAGCCCGGCCTGGCAGGCAAGCTCTAATTTCACATCGTCCGACGGCCTTTCACTCCGTCGTTGTCACAGCGGAGGCAGGGAAGAGCGCTTGAGGGCCGTCAAAAGTCATGCCACTTTGCGTCGAGCAGGCCGCGACGCCGGCCAAGCGGAGGTCGGCTTCTCTCTCACGTCACGGTTTCTTCTCTTTCCGCCGCCATCATCCTGTTTGCCGGCCTACCTCTTCTTTCGACGCGGATGACGCTGACCGCTGACTGCGACACGGCGAGAGCATCGATGCATGGGCGAATGACAGCGGCAAGATCCCGGACCCACTACCTCCTGTCGTCGGAGGTGGAAGCCGGGGTGACAATGATCTTGCGCTTACGGACAGCCGTGCCGGACGTCATCACTACGGAGGTCCCTGCGGCCCACTCATCCTCCCGACGAGCAACCTACAGCGAGCAGTACATGTACAGTAGCAGGGATGCCGCGTCAAGACACAAAACGAGGCTAGGAGATCAGGGTCGCCCATCGTAGATCGAAAGCTCGCTGTCGCAGCCGTCGTAGCGGACCCTGTCTCACCGTAGCACCGTTTCCGTGCCTGATAGAAAAGCAAGCAAGCGCGGCAAGAGCGGGCCTTCCGGTTGCGGCTGCGCCGGCCAGTCCTCGATTCGGCAGGCCCGCCCGCCCATCCTGCATTCCCTATTGGGTTTCTCGACGCGCCATGCTTCAGAGCACGACGTACGAGCTGTTCAGCGACGGCACATCCGGTCGGGCCTGCGCCTCGAAGGGTTGCCGGCGCCATCCGCACGACGACAACTCTCGCCTCGCGGCTGAGACGATGGCCGGTGCTCAGCATCGTCGACCAATTCGTGCTGCGCATCCCGCGCAACCAGCGACCGCGACCTCTATATCCTTGTTGCCATCTCCCGTTCTCACATACGCACACCAGGACACCCATTGATCGACAATCTGGCGAGCCTTTGCCAAGGAATGTATGAATACAAGCTTGTCGTTCCTTCTTTCTTTCTCGTTGGAGCATTTCGAGTCATGATACAAAGTCGGTCGCCGCTCCGGCGACCGAATCGCCGCCAACAACGCGCGCGCCGGCCTAGGACCTGTAGCGGAAGCCAGACCAATGGTCGCCCTTGAGCCTCTTGGCCTCCTCGACCGTGGCGTATGTTCCGCCGCCCTGGAGGTGCAGGCCGTACTGGAACCGGCGCCACCATCCCGCCTCGGCCGCCTCCTGAGCGCGGATCTGCGCCGCCTCAGCCTCCAGGTCCCTTCCGGCCTGCTCCTCGGGCGACAGCTCCGACGCCAGGATCCTCTCGTCCCTCAGCCCGGCCTCGCGCTTGGCATTTTCCCGCGTGACGCCGAGGTAGTAGACGAGCGACGCGAGCACCGTCATGAACAGGTACCCGATAATGATCCCGTGGCCCATCTGGAAGCGCGGGCTGGTCCGTGTCGGGTACACGTTGCTCGTTGGCGCGCCGTTAAAGTTGCCGAAGCTGATCACCATCGCCGTCACCACCGCCCGGGTGTAAGCTCCCTCCGAGTTGCCGGCGACGAGCGAGATGGTGTTGGAAATTGCCGGGTAGATTCCGATGGCTGCCAAGTAACATGCGAAGTAGGATACTCCGGGCTTGGAGGTCGGATTGTTGCCAATGAGGATCGCGTAGCCGACGATGGCGACGAGTCCGAGGCCGACGTTGTACAGGGAGCGCCTCGATGTGCGATCGGCGAGGAATCCGACGGTGACGGTGAAGAGACAGGCGACGGCGTAGATGGGGATCGAGGTGAGGTTGGCGCGGTTGGCCGTGTAGCCCAGCTCGCGCAGGATGGTCGGCGTGAAGAGCGAAAAGGCGTACAGCGGGCCGCAGACTCCGGCGTAGATGAGCATGCCGACGATCGTCTTCCAGTCGCAGATGCCCCGCCACAGGTGGTTCATGTGGAACGTCTCGCCCGCGGCCGAGAACTGCTGGTCCTGCTGCAGCCGCCATACGACGGCGCGTCGCTCCTTGTCGCTCAGAAAAGACGCCGTGTCCGGGAAGTCGACGCAGAGCCAGAAGGAGAGGATTCCTGCGAGAAATGTGCATATTCCAACAATGAGAAAGATCCAACGCCACCCTTCGTAGCCTCCGATGCCGTCCATGAGGTTGAGGGCGTAGCTGAGGAGTCCGCCGAACGCGCCGGCCAGGGTGGCGGCCGAGAAAAAGATGGCGGTGCGTTTTCCCATCTCGTTGCGCTTGTACCAGCCGGCGAGGAGGTAGTTGGCGCCCGGGAAGAGGCCGGCTTCGGCGACGCCGAGTGCGAAGCGGGCGCCGAGGAGGCCGCCGTAGTTGTGGACCACGCCCTGCATGGCCATGCAGATTCCGACAAAGATGGTGATGAGCGGGAACCAGATGCGCGGGCGGAGCCTCTTGAGCAGGATGTTGGAGGGCACCTCGAAGCCGGCGTACGGCAGGAAGAAGATGGTGAGCGTGAGGGCGTACTGCGTGCTCGACAGGCCGAGATCGGTCTGGAGGCCGTAGATGCGCGCGTTGCCAATTGCGCCCCGATCGAGGAATGAGAGCAGGTATAGGAAGCAGATCCATGGGATGAGCGTGAAGTCGATCTTGCGCAGAAGCTTCTTCTCGTCGATGCCCTCGGGGAGGCCGGAGGGGACGTTGGTCTCCTCATCGTACGAGTTCTTGTCGTGTTGTGGGCTGGCGTGAGACAAGGTCTGCGCGACCATGCGGTCGTCCTTTTTAGTGTCGTCAGGGTATTGGTCGGACATGTCAATCGGAGATAGGATCGAGAGCAGCGGTCGACGGAATTGTCGAGAGACTAAGAGCAGCGTGACGTGAAGAGAAGAGCCCAGCCGCAAAGATGGAAGAGGAGCAAGCAGGCAGTGAGGAGGAGAGAGAGAGAGAAGAAGGCGGCGTTTAGAATGAGGGCTGGAGGCGAGGGAATGGAGGGTGACGAAGATGGCCGAGGATCTTATATACCAGAGTCTGGCTGCAACTGGGCAGGGGGACGGCACCCTCTGTCGCGCCGACCATTGGGTTTGGCTCCGACTCTACGCCGCCCGACGGTGCCCATACCGGCACTGCTCTCCCGCCTGTCCGCCCAGGGTGGCCGCCGTGCAGAAGCTCCACGTTAGGCCGGTAGTGCTGCCGCCAAAGCATGCTGTACGGATAATCACACGCACACACACACCGCGGCCGCTTGCCGACTGACCGATGAGGATGAGCAACGTGGTCGAGGATCGAGGCGAGAAGAGGCGAGAAGAGGCGAGGCGATGCCAGGGCGATGCGAAGCGTTGCTACGCGAGGGCGGGGGCCAAGGGCGCGGGCGAAGGCGAGGCGTCGGTGAAGGCATTGGCCAGGCGCAAATAGGCGCAGCATGGAGACGCCTCGGTTCACGTACTGTATGGGGAGCGGACCAGTCTCGGAGAGCACCGTACGTAGGCACAACGGGGCGGGACGACCGGCGAGTATGACCGGGCCACCGGGAGATATACGTACGTGCAGGTACATCTGCCTAGCCTGTTGGACGATTGGGCGGTTGAGCCGCGCCGCCGCCGGGTCGCGGTGGGCTATCGTCGGTGACAGGCGGCTTCCCCACGATTTCGGGGTGCGCGCGGGGGAAAAGCAGCGCTGGGGAAAACGCGGGGTGATTCTGGCGAGGCAAGGCGGGGTAGGGCCTGGGCAGGGCAAGCTACAGGAGGGCAGGCTCGCCCTCCGCTGGCCGACCGCGGAAGGATTCGCCGCTATTCGCAGTCCGACCTGGTTCGCACGGATGAGCCGGTTCCAGCAACGAGCAAAGCAAGCAAGCAAGCAAGCAACCAAGCAACCAAGCAAGCAAAAGGCGGAAGTGCGGGGAAAAGGGCTCCTCCTCCTTCTCCCTGGCCCAGCGGACCGGGCTCGCCGACGGCCGTGCCGCCCAGAGGGAACGATTGTCGTCGGCCCCATCGGATCTCTCCGCTATCATCGTCTACGGCACACCACCGACTGGACGGATATGACTACTATGCCAAGGGCATGCCTACGGGTACCGTGTTCGACAGATGCTCTCGTCTTTCCGTGGGAGGACGGGAACGGATATTGGCCTTGGCTCGGCTTGGCTGCCTGCTGGATACCCACAACGTGGGCTCGTCTCGTGGTGCGGCCATGGCCTACCATGTGGGCACAGCTGATGGAGAATTCTGTGGGGCAATACCATAGCATGCAGAGACGGACAGCAGCAGTTCCTGGAGCGAAAGGCAGGCAGGCAGGCAGGCAGGAAGCACGGAGACAGCCTTCCGGAGACGACGCTTGGCGTTTCTCGCCGCCTGGCAGGTATCGTCGGAAGTACCGGTGACGGAGCTAAGGACTTCCCTCGGCGTGGCGGCGGTTCCGACAGCCTCCACCGCTAGCCAGACGGAATGGCCCGCGCGCCGCCATCGGCACCGCCGACAAGATGGCGTGCTGCCCAGCAGGCCAACGGCGGCCCTCCCTCGCCCGCTCCCCTCTCGACCACGACACCTGTCCCCATCATCGCCGCCCCGCCGCCCATTCAATCGCCGCCGCCATGTCGCACGTCCAGACCGCACTCGGGCGCTTCTTCGAGTCATCCAGCTATGCCGTCGTCGGAGCCAGCAAGGACCCGTCCAAGTTTGGCAACAAGGTGCGCTTCTCCCGGCTCTTGCCCCGTTCCTGACCGCAACTGCGCTCAACCTTCTCCTGGCACCCGCCTGCACGTCTCGAACAGGTCCTGAAGTGGTATCAGGCGCACAAGATCCCAGCCACGCCGATCCATCCCAAGGAGCCCGAGATCGAGGGCCTGCCCACCTCTGCAAACGTGGCTGACCTCGTGCAGAAGCTCAAGGCCGAGGGAAAGATCGAGAGCGAGGCACAGCTCTCCCTCTCGATCGTCACGCCGCCCAAGATCAGCCTCGGCGTCGTACAGGACGGCATCAATAGCGGCGTGGGCGCCTTCTGGCTGCAGGTGAGTGCGCAGGCCGGGCGTTCCGCGTGCAAACGCACCGGCGCGGCGCGACTGACTGATGAACTCTCTCCGCTGCTCTCGTTGGCGACCGTGACAGCCCGGAGCAGAGGATGCCGAGCTTGGTGAGCCTATCCCGTGCGCTGCGCCCCGCAAGAGCTTCACTAACACCTCTGCCGGTCTTCTCGTCCCTTCTCGCCTCACTCCAAGTCTCGTGGGTGCGATCCCAGTCCGAGCAGGTCCAGGAAAAGATCATCTACGGCGGGCCTTGCATTCTCATATCGGGCGCACAGTTGGCCAGCGCCAAGGGAAGACTATAGAAGGGGCCCTGTCTACGTACGAACTGCGTAGTAACAGGCTAAATAGAGACGCCCGCCTACATGGCCTTGCCCTGCTCGTCAATGTTCGAGAAGCTGTACTTGGCCCTCCAGTGGTAGGGCCTGTCCGGGCCGTAGATCTGGTCGCGGCCCCACTGCGGGTTGTTGATTCCGTCGATGTAGTCTTCCATCTCGAGGACGACGCAGCTGTAGTTGTCGTAGACCTTGTCGAGGGTGCCGTCGCCGCCGTGGCTGCGCTTGCGCGGGATGGAGCCCTTGGCTGGGCTGTTGATGCCGCTGCAGGTGTAGACCTGGATGGCGGGCTGGTTGGACGCCGAGACCGAGAGCTTGATGCCCGACTTGAGCGACGAGAGCTCGATAACGCTCTGCTGCTTGGCCTCGCGCTTCTTGGGCGGGTCGGTCATGACAAAGCAGCTGTCCCAGCCGGTGCAGTTGAAGCCGCACACGCCGAGCGTCTCGTTGAACATGTCGCGGAAGGCGTGGGGCGTGCGGAAGTCGTAGGGCGTGCCCTCGACGGTCGGCAGCTCGCCCGTGGGGATGAGGATGGTGTCGGTCTTGACGTACTTGTCGGCCTTGGGCAGGTGGAGGACGTGGTCGAGGATCGTCTGTGACTCGTTGTAGGCCTCGAGGTTCCAGTAGACGTGCGACGAGAGCATCAGCGGCGTGCGCTTGGACGCCGTCGCGTTGAGCTCAATCTCCCACGTCGCGTCCGGCAGCAGGCGGTAGCGCGTGTACGTCTTGACCTCGCCGGGGAAGCCCTGGAAGCCGTCCGGGTCGAGGTGCGAGAGGAGGATCTCGTCGGCCTTGACCTCCTCGACGCGGTAGGCGCTGCGGTCGTAGCCGATATCGCCGCCGTGCAGGGTGTCGAGGTTGTTCTCGTTGAGCGGCGCCTTGTACGTCTTGCCGTCGACCTCAAAGGTGCCGTTCTTGATGCGGTTGGCGTACCGTCCGACAATGGGGCTGAAGTTGGGGTGGATGGTGTCGGTGCCGTAGTTGGTCTTGTTGTCGAAGCCGAGGACCACGTCGCGCCAGCCGCCGTAGCGGTCCTTGACCCAGAGCTCGGACACGACCGAGCCGTAGGGGAGCACCGTGGCGCGGATGCTGTCGTCCGAGGAGCGCAGGTTGATGGCGTTGTACGGGTAGACGGGAGGCTGCGCCTCGACGCATCCGCTGCCGGGGACCGTGCTGAACGACACCTGCGACGACGACGACGCCGAGGTCGAGCAGTCGTAGCTGCCGATGGTGCCGTTGTTGACAAAGCCGGGCGTCGAGCGGGATTCGGCCGCCGACGAGGTCGAGGTGCTGTTGGCGGCGTCGGCCTGCCGAAGCCAGAGCGGTGTCTCATCGGCGACAGCAGCGGGAGATGGGAGCGCCGAGGCCGATCCCAGCAGCTGGAGCACCACCGGGAGCAAGAGAGAGAGGCGGGGCAGCGTCATGGTGTGCGAGAGATGGTGGCGGTCGGATGAAGAGGTGACGAATTTCGTGCGCAGTCGTGAGGGTCGTCCTACGAGGCCGGGAGCAGTGGGAGCCTCGATCATAGCCCCGAGCAATGGCCCATCTTATACGGCAGGCTCGAGCAGTGGCGCTGCTGCATCTCGCCACGACTGCGCCGCAAGAAACAGATGGGGCAAGGAGGCCCCTGCTTCCCCACATGACTGCCTGGCAAGCAAGGGCATCCTTTCGCTTTGGCCATCGATGGACCCCAGTCGTGCGGCTGGCTGCCACGCCATGCCTCGTCTCGCCACGACGGCGATCCTCGCCAGTCTACCGCCTGGCGGCCTAGCCTGGCTTGGTCTATGTACCTGGCTGGGGGCGTGTTGATGGCAGCGCGGGCGTTGCTTAGCGAGGATGCATGAAATAGCACTTAGCCTGGTGGGTCGCATCAGGTGTGGAGCCCCTCTTCGCTCGTCTCCGTGCCGTCGGCAATCTATGTCGCGGCACAGCTGTATCTATCTGGTGGATCGCAACCGGCGGTCAGCATGGCATCGCTTGTCGATGAGAGGAGCGCGGTCGTCGCTTCCGTCTCGCAAATCTCTTTGCTCACCCCACCTCGCCGCGGAGCGAGGCCACGGTCGGCCAAGAAGGGCAAGCGGAGATCTCTCTCCCGAACAACCGACGTCGGCCCCAGCGATATCGTGCGACCAAGATTGGACACCACGAGGAAGGCGGTGGAACCTGGATGGCGCGAGCTTCGGTAGCTGCCGTGCAAGCGCATCCGTCATCGAGCGGCGGAGGGGAGCGAGAGAAATCGATCTTTCCGCCTGCACGCGCATGGCGGACGTGTGCAGCTCTGACAGGAGGTCTGCGTTCCGCAGCACGTGCGGCGATCTGGGCCCGGAACCAGCATGGAGGCCGGGAAGGGAGACTGTCGGAGCCTCTCGTGCACAGCAGGTCTCGAAGCTGCCCTCCTTGACAGGCAGATGACGGCAGATGCCCAGCGGAGTCGTTCCACAAGCAGACAGGGTGGGCCAGAGGGCAGTCTGAGATGTCCAGCGCGTCATCGGAGATGCGGCTCCTCCGAGTGCTGCAAACGGTGCTCGCCGTAGAGGCACCATCGACCTATCGTCAGCCCGCCCGAGCCCTTCTGCCCCGCTTAAGCTTCTCACCGACAAGAGGGATCTCCTCGTGGTCGGCCTGCAACTCCTCGGGCGGGGCTCCCTGCTGCAGCACCGCCGTCTCGCCGTCCGCTGCCACATCCGGCGGTCCTCCTGCGCTGGCTCCGTCGTCGATGACGCTCAAGCCGCCGGCGTCGACTTTGCCACGCTTCCGCTTAGCTCCACCGGTCCTCTTCCCAGTGGGCGACGCCTTTTTCGGGCTGCTTGCCGCGATCGACAGCTGCCCGTCGTCGCCGCTGGCGAGCGTCGACTGATCGGCATCGTCGACGTCTTCGTCGAACGTCTCCTCGGTCAGGTAGACCCGACGCTGTCGACCGGCTCGAAGCTCGGCACGAACCCACTCGGCCTCGACCTTCATGTCCTCGAGCACCTCTTGACTGCTCTTGACCACTTCGTCCTCGGGCTTGGCGTCGCTCTCCTCGTACGCCTCGCCGGACGGGCCCTTGTACTCGCGGCCGGTACGTGCGGCCACCTCCTTGGCTTTGTTGATGGCGGCGAGGATCTTGGCCTTGTTGGAGGCCTTGGTATCCGCCTTGGCGGCCGCCTTCGACGGCGACCGGGTCCCTTTGGCAGGGGCGTAGTCTGCGTCCGGATCCGCGGCATCGTCGCCCTCCGCGGTCAAGGCCTCGGAGTCCTCTGCGCCATCCTCGTCGCTCGTCGCCTTGGCCTTTGCACGCCCCCGCGGCTTGCGGGGCAGATGCTCGCCGCCGAGCTTGCCCTTGCGCCCAGACGTTTTGACGCCGATGTCCTCGTGCGGCGGTCGCAGGCTCTCGTGGACGACGGGACGGATGTTGTAGATGCGATGCAGCTCGAGCACCGCCTGCTCCTTGTCCTTGGCCTCGATCATCAAGTGGGCATCGGCGGGCAGATCCGGAGGCAGCTCGCCGCACCGGTCCGAGTGCGCCCTCCGCTCGCGCAGGTTCGATGCGCCCGGCCGAGGCTCGGAGAGGTGGTACTTGGGCCGGATGCCGCGCTTGCGCCAGATTTCCTGGATCTCGGGCAGCAGCTCCGACGGCGGGCGGGCCGAGGGACGGAGCAGGTCGTGGTGGAAGTCAAAGACGAGCGGGATGCTGAGCTCCTTGCAGAGCGGCAGCAGCTCGTCGGCGCTGTAGGCCATCTCGTCGTTCTCGAGCACCAGGCGGGCTTTCACGTTGTCCGACAGCCGGGTCGTGTAGGTCTCCTTGATGCGCGCCAGCGTCGCCTGGCGGTCGCCAAAGACGCCGCCGCCGTGGATGATCATGACGCTGTCCTGGTCCATGCCCATCAGGTCGAGCATCTCGCAGTGGCTGTTGAGGTCGCGGATGGCGGCCTCGATCACCTCGGGCCTCGGGCTGCCGAGCTGGGTGAACTGGCCCGGGTGCATGGTGAGCCTGTGGCCGAGCTTCCTGGCCAGGTCGCCGGCGTTGCGCAGCTCCCGTTCGGCGTACTTGAGCGAGTAGCCGTACTTTGCGTGCGAGGCAAAGGGAAACACCTCGGACGAGAGGCGCATGAAGCGGATGCCGTTGGCCTCGTTCCAGAGGATCATGGGGATCATGTCGCGCGCATTGAGGCGGCCGAGCTCCTTGATGTACTCGGGACCCTGCTCGTCCATGGTCTTGATCCGCGCGGTGCGGCTGGAGAAGACGGGCGGGTCCTGCCAGCGGAGCACCGTGTTGAGGCAGGCGTAGCCCAGCTCGCCGCGGAAGCCGTCCTTGCGCTCCTCTCTCTTGTCGGGCGGCCCCTCGAGGCGAAAGTCTCGGTGCTGGACCTCGGGGATTTCGTAGACGACTTCCTTCTTCTTTCGCTTGGGCAGCAGCTTGCCGTTTTTGTTGCGCCGGACCGGGTCGCCCTCCTCGTCGACTTCGACCTCGACCTGCTCGCCGTGGACGTTTGTATGTGTCTCGATGTGGGTCTCGCGCTCGGCCGCTTTGGGCTTGGCGGCCTTGGCGGATGCGCCGGGCGCGCGCTTCCGCTTCGTCGGAGATGCTCCGTTGGCATCCTCGGCAGCGGTTCCGACGGTCGGCTCAGAGGCCGAGTGCGGTTCGTCGTCGCCCTCCTTTTCGGCCTTCGACTTGGTCTTGGACCTGCCCGTCGTTCGCCTGGCCACCTTTGCCCGTGGAGGCGAGGCGGGGGCGGTCGGCGACGGGGGCGGTGAAAGCGAGGCATCGGACTCGGTATACTCGACCTTGGCTTTGGCTGCCCGGGATCGGGTCCCTCTGGTTGGTCTGATGGTGGCGACCGAGGCCGTCGTTGACCCCGAATCATCTGGCGTGGGGTCCATTGCCTCGACTGGCAAGGGTTCTAGCGGCTGCCTATGGCCGCGTTTTCGGGGGCCATCTGTCTGGCCCGGGGCGATGCCGGCGACGATTTCGGCTGCTGCCGCCTTGGCAATCGGCTTGGTGTCGGACGCGATGCCGCGACCATTGGTCGGTCTGCCCTCCGTCGAGCTGAAGCGAGTCCTTGTGGGCATCGCAAGGGCTGAAGAGGCTAGCCAAGCCGGGCGGAGCGAGCCAACTGGGATAATGGGAGTGGCGAGGGCGCCGCGGCTCAAGGGCAGCGATAGTAGTGTTCGGCTGATCCCGAAGGTGGGTGCTGCCGCCAAGCGCAACAGCATCCAGGGTGTGGGGCGTCCGAAGTCAGGGGGTGGCGTAGGTGCAGGTCCACGCCAGCTTCCGTCGCCGCCGGACCTAGAAGTAAGAACAGCGACTGTCGATCGATCCTGGCAAAGGTCAAAAGAGGGAGGAGAGAGAGCTCTAAGGGATTCGATACAGGAGGGCGACTGGAGATGGTGTGGAGAGTGTGAGAAGCTGGCTGCTCCTCTGTTGTAGTCGCGGGATCAGGGTGGCAGAGGGGTCGTCGCTCTGGCCAGGGGACGTCCCCCGTTGCTCGGCCGTTGCCAGAGGAGAAGGCGGATGGTGACGACGGGGGACGGTGCCACAGCTCGAGGGTCCCCCGGCTGAGACCAGGGTCGAGTGAGGAAGAGAGCAGCCAGCGACGCCGATGACGCTACGCCGTCGAAGCTCAGAGGCCAGGGCGGCTAAACCTCCACATCGCGCCACCCGAGCGATGGGTCAGCCGCTAGGCCGGCCGCCCGATGGCTCACCCGCTAGTTTTCTGCCCGATCCTGCAACTGCGGCGGATCGCCGATGAGGTCGCCGTTGTCGTCACGAGTATGCGTGCGGCTGGCAAACGTTGCATCGGCGGCGGCGACGTCCCATGCCCATGCATCTTGTTGACCGTCTGCATCGATGGCGTGTACGGAAGAGCGGCGCTACTTGACCGACGTCGTGCACCCCCACTGCCCTCGCGGACCTCTGCCGGTCACGTTCGGTTGGCTCGGTACGGGCGGACCCTGCCCGCCCCACTCCTTTTCAATGCCGCAGGCCGGAACCCTGAGCCTATACCGACGGAGAGATGGACCCCCTGAGCGCCGTACTTTGACAGCCATGCCTCGATCGCAGGCAGTCCGGGAAGGCAGTGCTGTTGTTGGGCATCACACAAAGTCGCGTGCCACCGACGGCCACTACTCTACTGTCTGTGTTGGGTGGGCGAGATGCGCCATCAATAGAAGCTTTGAACGCACAGGACGGCATGCGGCATACAGAGAGGCATGTCGGTTGAAGGGAACGGATCAGGTGGGGCAACACTCAGGCTCGAAAGATTGAGCCGACGGTCGATACAGTCGAGCTTCGTATCGCCGTGGTGGGCAGGTGGTGGGTCGTTAGAGGGCGGCCAGCAGACCAGACCGAACCCTGCCACGAACCGCAGTGAGGCACGGCCTCCGTATATGATCTCATGAGTCTGGGAGGCGCAGGACGCGCGGGTGTCGACCAACACAGCCCATCACTTACCAGGCCGCTTCTCCTCACCTCTACACATTGCGAAGGCACTCCAGCCAGCGAGCGCGCCCAGAAGCATCGAGCAACGGTCAGCAAGGCCGGCTGAGAGAAGACCAAGACCGTCTCAGTGTCGATAGTCAAGATGGCGGATCCTGGCACGAAGATAGTGGCAGCGTGGGAGAGGATGAACGACCGCCCTCGCTTCATCGGGGCGATGCTCCACTCTGCTGCGGTCGGTCTGCTCTCGTGGGAATGCTTCATCAACCTGCCCGTGAGTCTCGTCGACATGTCCGATGTCGACCTGAGCCAAGGAACTTCGTTGCGGGAGATCTGATGATTTGCGGACCCTTTGCACCCCGTTACCGCCCACAGTTCGACATCTTTCTCATCTGCGCCAAAGGCTGGTGGACCCCGCGTAGCTTTGTCATGAGGGTATCCTACCTCTGCAGCCGCTACATCGGCCTTGTGACGGCTGTCCTGATCCTCAATCACACCGTGGAGCTCGGCACCATGAACGTTTGGTGCTCGAGGCCGGCCCAGCTGGTCATTGGCCTGACTGCGGCCATGACCATCATGAGCTATACTCTGGTGCTCGGCCGAACACTCATGTTCTTTTCCACGTCTTCCCGCATTGATCGCGGGGTAAGGGCCATACTGTGGCTGCTCTTTCTTATCAGCTCCGTCGGTATCGGCCTCTTGCCCTACGACGCCTGCGTGGTGGACAGACAATATGGTCAGGGATCGTGGTGGCTGTTCGATGTAAGTCTCCTTGTCTCGCCCTGATTGCGGTTGTTATCGCGCGATGGCTGCGCGGGTCTGACAAGGCGATCGAAAGGGCCGATACCGCCGCTCGCCCTGCTGACACGAGGCCTCTCTCTCCTGTCTTTCCTCGTCCTCTCGGTCCGTTCGTCTGTCCACGGTCCAGTTCTTCTCCATCAGCCAGATCGTCTTCTACAGCCTCGCGCTAGCTTGTATCCTGGTCAAGCTGGCCTGGCACCTGCGTCGCGCTAGTGACGGAGCTGGCCGCAGCGGCGTTGGCGACGAGAAAATCTATCAATGGGCACGGAGGATCTACGAGACGACGCGCTTCGGGCGGGCGCGGCCGCATCGCGAGGGCCAGGACGGTGGCCGACACCATTCGCTCGCCCTCTACCTTGTCTTGCAGGGCGCCTACTCGCTCTTTCTCGTCGAGATCATCGCAGCCGCCGAGATCATCGTCCGCTACCAGATCTCTGAAAGTCTCAGCATCGTCAAGACAGACGCGCAGGGGACGTGCCTCCGCCTCATCTGCGCTCTTTCCGCCATGAACTTTCGCGACACCTACAAAGCGGCGCGGTCGTTGCAGGAGTCGGTCGCGGTCTCGAATCGATCCGACCATGCGCTTCGGTCGGCCGGCAACGGCGCAACCGCCTCGGCAACCCGCATCGAAGAACGCGCGTGCCACGACGAAGATGGCAGGAGGAGCAGCAAAAGGGCGAGCTGGTCAAGCCCGCATCGCAGCCCCGACTGCAGCTGCATCATCGAGATGGTCGCGACTGGCGACGAGCGCAAGCATCAATGCAGCCGAGGGACCGAGGACTCCCACCACGTCGACGCCGTCACAAGTCACAAGCCGGGCGCCGGGACCTGCATGACTCCACCCTTCGAAAGCCAAGCGACATCGCCACCGCCCTCGCTCTTCTCCCAGTTGTGCCGTCGAGACTCGGACCTTGCCGATCCTTGGCTCGGCGGCGCGGGCAACGGCGGCAGTCCCTGGACTGCCGATCCAGGTAAGGAGGGCTTGGTATCATCATCCCGGCGCGAAACGGCCTCGCGATGGGACGGAGAGGGCACCGATGCTCCGCACGCCACGACACTCGAAGCTCGCGCCCAGCGAAACACCTTCGCCGAGGCCCAGGAGGCGGCGGCGCGGCAGAGGAGTGCCAGCGCCACCGATCAAGGATGCCTCCAGCGTCGTTGCTCGAGCGACGCTCTGGCTCGACAGCTGGCAATGGGTCAAGGCAACGACACTTCCCGAGAGCAGCTGGTCCAACGGCCAATCGGCAGCGCGGATGAGAGGAGGGCCAATACCATCACATCGATGCCATGCCCGTCGCGCGACAGCAGTGGCGGGAGCGACGGAGCGGATGCGTCAGATGGGAAATCGCCAAGCGACAAGCCGGCCGACGCCGAGCTTTGGGGTTACCGGGCGCAGTCGGCGGCGCCCGCCGGCGACTTTGGCCTCATCGATGGGACCTACTCGCTGCCGCCACCGCCACGGGCCGCCAGAAGGAAGCCGCAGTCCTAGAAAAAGGGCGGCAGAGACAAGCAGCCGCTCCGAGCGGCGGCTGGGCCTGTTGAGGTGCTCGAGTCCGACCCAGGCAGACCACGACATCGGCCACTGCTACCCATCTCGCCCCTGAACCTCTGTACCTTTTGAAGGCGATGCACCCTCCCTTTGACTGAAGCCCACCTTTGAAGACGAAATGCACCTTCCTTTTGATTGAATCGAGCCACCGCAGCCAGAGTAGTCAGCAGAGTCGTGTCGGTGCTGAAATGTGGCGAATGGCGGCGAGTGGCCATACGAGTTTGCACAGAGGCGCAGAGGATGGGAGAGAGGAAATGAGCGCCAGGCCCCCCCGCGCAGATCACGTGCTTGGACGCTCAGAAATATAGCTTCGGCCGAGGCCGCTAGAACTGGGTCGCGGGCGTGGCCGAGGCTCGGTTGCGAGCGCGGGGCCGCGCCGGCTTCGAAAATTCCAATTTTGGCTGGGGGGCTCCTGCTCGGTCGCTTTGGCCCAGCCAGCGGGAACGGACAGGCGAGCGGGCGAGCGGGCGAGCGAGCGAGGCCAGCCAGCAGCTCACGCTGGCAGCCAGCCAGGCCAGTCCGGCCCCAGGCCCAGCCAAAGCAGCCCAGCCAGGCCAGCGCCAGAGGCCGGCCCTTCTCGACGTCGTCCGACCGCCCGCTCCGCCTCAAACACCCTCCTCACACCATCAAGACCCTCTTCCCTCAAGACTCAGTCTCTGTGTAGCATAATTCAAGAGTGAGTATCGTCGCCGTCGCCGCCGTCGCCACCGCCGAACCGTCAAGCTCCGCCATCGACCCTCGACACCGACCCCGCCGACGCCGCTCTGTGGCAGGGCAGCACCCATCGCTAAAAGGGACCTCGTCCACGGCCGCCACGGAGGAACCCCGATACGAGGCGATTTCGGATGGCGTAGAGCGTCCTAGGCGTCCCGCGCATCGTTTGGCAAAAGAAGGGACGGATCACTTACCACAGCATCCGTGCTGCTTCTGAACTCCCCTTCACCCGTTATGCTGGACCTTCGCGATGTCCCCTGCCTCTCGAACCGCCATACACCTGGATCTCCCCACTCCCTCTTTCTCTACCTTACCGTTTACGCCGCCCTCGACTTCGATCCGCCGTCTCACCAACATGTGCCAACCTGTTCGACTCGACAACCGTTCGACGTGATGCATCCTCGACACCCTACGACGCATCTTTCCACGCCCTCTCGATGACTTTATGACGAATCGCACCTCGACCGGACCTGGCTCGTTTGATCGAATTGCGACCCGACCTGTCCCTCGCAACGACCCGCCTGTTGTCGCTGCTCGCACACCTTCTCGACGGCGCTTTCCGGCATGCAGTGGTTCGAGGACCCAAGCACCACCTTAAGCGCCTTGCCGCTCCCTCGTCGTGGATGCTCGACAAGCTGTCGGGCACCTACGCTCCCCGCCCTTCCAACGGCCCCCACAAGCTCCGTGAGGCCCTCCCCCTCATCGTGAGTATCAGCCGGTCAGCAGGTTCAGAAGATGCAGGGTGCCGATGGATGGAAGGAGACATGAGTCTCGAAACGCCGGGCTGGAAAGTCGAGGATGGAAGCGAGGTGCTTCAGTCGGGCGGCCAGCGGTGCGACAGCACTCGGCGACGGAGGCAAGGTGCCATCAGGAAAGCCTGCCACTTGGCGTGGCGGCGCATCGGACGGGAAGCGGACGGGCAGGTCCGAAACCGGGGCGGCTCGTTGATGAGCTTTCACCAATCAACATGCATGGCTTTCCTAATGTCCTTCGGGACTTGCGGATACCATTGCCCCGATTGTGTCTGAGGACGCTCTCTGGAGACCGGCGCTAGAGGCAGGCAGGCGAAGGGCCGAGGATGGAAGGCCGGCAGCCAGGAACCACGGCGAGGACGACGAAGGACGGCGTCGGCAAGGCAGCCGGCGCTGCTACCGGGATTTGCCGCGCTGGCGGACCGCGGTGGACTTCTCTGACCCTTTGCGCCCGTCACAGGTGCCGGATCGCCTCAAAAGAACCGACCGAACTGACCCCACCGACGCCCTCGTCCTTGCTCGCTTTCGCCTGCTGCGCAGATCCTCCTCCGAAACCGATTGAAGTACGCCCTCAACGGCCGTGAGGTTACTGCCATCACCGCCCAGCGTCTGATCAAGGTCGACAACAAGGTCCGCACCGACCCGACCTACCCCACTGGCTTCATGGACGTTGTCTCGATCGAGAAGTCGGGCGAGCACTTCCGCATCCTCTACGACGTCAAGGGACGCTTCATCGTCCACCGCATCACTGCCGAGGAGGCGCAGTACAAGCTGCTCAAGGTCAAGAAGGTGCAGCTCGGCGCCCGCGGCGTGCCCCAGATCGTCACCCACGACGCCCGCACCATCCGATACCCCGACCCGCTGATCAAGGTCAACGACACTGTCAAGTTTGACCTCGAGAACAACAAGCTCGACACCTTCATCAAGTTCGAGGTCGGCGCGCTCGTCATGGTCACCGGCGGCCGTAACCAGGGCCGTGTTGGCGCCATCACTGGCCGCGAGAGGCACCTCGGCGGCTTCGACATTGTCCACGTCCGCGACACGCTCGGACGCGACTTCTCGACCCGTCTCTCGAACGTCTTCGTCATCGGCGAGGGCGGCAAGCCGCAGATCTCGATCCCCAAGGGCGGAGGAATCAAGCTCTCGATCACCGAGGAGCGAGACCAGCGCCGCCGCCAGCGCGAGGCCCGTGGCGAGTAAACGTCTCGGTCCGATGCCACATCAGCACCGTACCCGGACGGGATCCTCGAACCACCTTGCGCAGCACACCCATCCGTACCTTCCTTCCTACCTCCTCCTCCACCATCATCATCACCATCATCTCGGGGCGCACGCGCCTCTCTCTTCCCGGTCGACCCTTCTCCTCACCTAAACTGTCTGTCGGCCCCTTTCCCTTCGAGGAAGAGAGGGTTTGCCTGTCCCCCCATCCTCCCGCATACGATTCTGCTCATGAGAAACACAAAAAAAGGCCGCGCGCCGCTATGAACATGACACTTTCGTTGCGGGTTTCCTCGAACCCGTCGGCCTTTACTAGACCTCCCTCTCTCTCTCCACCCACTCCCAAAAGCGTTGTCGGCGAGATGGCAACGACAGACCCTTGCACATACACATTCGCACCTGCACCCGCACGCATCGGGCTCACGAGTCCCTCTTCCTTGCCTGCCTCGACCGAGTCGTCCGTGAACCTGGTCCGACCTCCGTATGTTGTCGCTTCTGTCGTTCGTGCGTCGTCGCCGTTTGCCTCGTTCTCTGCTGCCCATATGTAAGGCTCAGGGCCGATCTCGATTTCGTCGGGCATCTCAGTACATCGGAAAGCCATCCTTGACCTTGGCATACGCCCTCAGACCGCCGACGAGGTCGGTAAACTCGAGCTCCTCGTCTCGCCTGGCTCGGGACGGCGCGGCGCTGTCGGTCGATGGAGACGAGAGCGGGTCGTCTTGAACCGCCTCTTGCCTCGCCACCTCCGTCGCCGCCGCCGCGTCCCGGGCAGCTTGCTGCAGCAGCCGGACGGCGAGCTGAGAGTCGTTGCCCTTGCGACATACGAGCAGCGGTGGCTGCCCCACCGGAGACGTCGAGAGGCGCGACCGAATCGTCTCCAACGCCTTGCTCGGATCCTTGCGTATCGTCGTGTAGGGTAGGCCTGCAGAGTTCGGGGCAGGGACAGCGGCAGGATAAGGATCAGGTCAGCTGCTTGCCGTGCGCTGATGCTCCGCATGGCCTACGATCGGCGACACTCACTGATGGACCCGTCGATGCGGGTGATGCCGAACTCGACCGGCGGCCGCACATCGATCAGCAGCCTCTTTGCCGCACCTTTCTCCAGCTCTTCGACCGCCACCCGTGGCCCACCCGCTTGTCCGTCGACCATTGGCGGACGATTGAGGTGGCAGAAGGTGGCGTAGTCTTCGCTCTGCAGATCCGAGATCATGTTGTCCCGTCCGACCTGCGCCGGGTCGCCGCAGGTCCGGCAGGTGGCCAGCCGTCGCGGCCGCAGCCTGATCGAGCGGAAGGGCGTCCCGCTCATCGGGCTCACCAGCGTCATGGTCGGCAGCGTGGCCTCGCCGATCTGGGCGAGGATCTTGACCGACTCGAGCGCCTGCATTGTCCCCACCAAGCCAGTGATGCCGCCCAGGACCCCTCCATCCTCGCAGTCGGTCACGTCCTCGGGCTTTGGTGCCACAGGGAACAGACAGCGATAGCACGGGCCCCTGGCATTGTCGATCGGGTCGACGAGGGCGGGTGCGGTGCTCGCGGGAGAGGCGGCAGTGGTGGGCTTGCTTGCGAACTGCGGCAGGATCTTCTTGTGCAGCACGATGAGCTGGCCGTCGTAGCCCTGCGCGGCGCCGCTGACCACCTCGACGCCTTCTAGCACGGCCGCGTCCGAGATCAGGTACCTCGTCAGCGGGTTGTCGGTGCAGTCGAGCACGAGGTCGTGGCCAGAGATCAGCGAGCGTGCGTTGGCGCTCGAGATGCCCACGGGATGCGGCGTCACGTTGATGAAAGGGTTGATGACGTGCGCAGCCTGCGCGGCAGACTCGGCCTTGTTGATGCCTATCTTGGCATCCGAGTGCAGAATCTGTCGAGCCAGGTTGGAGGCCTCGACGCTGTCGTGGTCCACGATCGAAATCTGGCCCACGCCGGCAGCGGCGAGATATTGGACTGCGGGGCAGCCAAGACCGCCAGCGCCGACGACCAGCACTTTGCTGCGGCGGAGACGAAGTTGGCCTTCGAGACCAAAGTCGGGCAGGATCATCTGCCGTCCGTAGCGCTGGTATTCGGCCAGGCACATCGGCAGACCTGGCGGCGGCGTGGGAGTCGTCCTTCCGGCGAGGGCAGCAGCGGTCTCGACGTGTGGGTTGTTTGGCGCTGCACCGATACTTTCACCGTGATCTGAGGATGTCGTTGCAGAGGCTGCCCCGTTCGTGTTCGATCCCGGCGGCAGAGGTTGCGGCGCTGCGGCTGCCTTGGACGCGGCGGGCAACGCCTGGGCAGCATTCTTCTGGTCCGCTGGATCGGCAGCGGGGCGCTTCGAGGGCAGCGTGGCCGAGTCAAACTCACGCGCTGACCCGTTGAGGACGTCGCGGATGTGCTTGAGCGCCGTGAAGCTCATCAATGTATCGACGTCGCTTTGGTCGAGGTCCTCGTGCCCTGCTGGCCTGGCCGAGATGCCGTCAGGCGCGACCTCTTGGCGAGACAGCCAGCTGGTCTCGAGCGTCTCGATGCATGTGGCGAGGGCAGCCCCAAGCGCCTTGTTGGTGGTCGTCAGCCCTTCGAGCTTCGCAGTGAGCTCCGCGGTAGATATGCTCGGGGATGATGCGCTGTTTGTCCCCGGGCCGCTCGTCCGACCGGCCGCAGCAGATGCGTTGCGCCGAGGCACAGCAGGTTGAAAGCCTGCCGGCGTCGTCGTGCTGGTCGCCGACAGGCTAGCGTGAGAGACCGATGGCGTGAGGGAATCGCTGAACGAGCTCGGGAAGCCGCCGTTGCCTGCCGCGCTGCTGGCGGCGTTGGACGCTGCGACGCCGGCTGCGGCTGCCGTGACTGTGCGCTGGACGTTGGCCATGGTCGAGTTGAGTGCACGGTTGATGCCGAGAGAATCGGAGCGCTCATAGAGGCCCCGTGCAAAGTCGCTGATGCCCTCGGGAATGTAGGCGCTGGGGACGATGCCAAACGACCGGCTCGGCGACTGAGGCATCGCAGCGGAGGCGGACAGCGGGTCGTCGAAGCGCCTCGCCGGATGCCGCGACGGTGGCGCAGTGGCCGGCAGACGCGATGCCGGCGTCGGTCGCTGCCAGGACGACACCGGGTTCGCCCCAGACGGGCTCCGCCCGACGGTGGCAAACTTGGAGGGTCCCCTCGCCTGGTAGATAGCGGCGTAAGGCGCGTCGCGTGTCGATGTCGGGCTTCCCAGCGAGCCGTTGCTGGGCCGCTCGTTGGCGAGGCTCCGCTCAGCGTCAGGGAACCTCGGCGGGATGCCCAGAAGATCGCGGTTCTGCAGGACGATTGCCACGCCCGAAGCTGGCGTGGACCCATTGTCCCGGAGGTAGATTGCCTGCTGCACGAGCAGCTCGGTCCTGTTGCCGCCGTCGGGGGCGTCGGGATTGACCGGATAGCGCAGCAGCGCCTGGAGGGCGCCCGAGTAGTCGGCCGTCAGGAGCTCGTTGCGAACGCGCATCAGCATCGCCACGCAGACGTGGTCGATGAGCGCCAACGAGCGGTCCATGGCAAAGATGCCGTCCCAGAGCTTGAGCGCGTCCTCGAGCGGGAACTCGCGCGTGAAGATCAGCCGGATCCACCTCAGCGCAAACAGCTGCGGCTCGATGGCGAGGGCGTCGAGGTGTTGGGCCAGGCTAGGGTCGGTCGTGTGCAGCAGCTGTCGTATCCGCTCGCACTTTGCCACGATGGGCGTCGTCGGGTTGGCAGCTGCGGTCGAAGGTTGCGGCAGCCCCGTCAGCGAGCCCCACGACATGGTCCGGGGGACCGCGCTGCGCGGCTGGGCTGGCTCGGCGGGCTGCGGCGTCCTCCATTCGAACCAGCTCTTTGCGCGCTGCATCAGGGCGCAGAAGAGCGTGTAGACGTCGTGCTCGATCCAGCGCTCGCCGAGCACCGCCTGCATCACGTCTTCGTCGAGGCGCGCGGAGCCTCCCGAGCTGCCGAGGGGTCCCTGAGCTCCCCGCCCGCCACTGCCGGCGCGGCTGCCTTGCCTTGTTGAGTCGCGCTGTCGGACGAGCCAGAGCACAGCCAGGAGCTCGTGCATGCCCTGCCGGTAGCCCACGTCTTGGTTCTGGCCGCACCAGACGAAGAGGGCGTTGGCCAGCCCCTTTTGCACCCGAGACTCGCGGAAGAGGGCAAGGTCGGGAAACGTCCGTTCGACGTCTTGCGCGATCGTCTGTCTGGTCTCTAGCGAGGCGTAGTGGGTCTTCCACGGATTCTGTCGCAGAGCGGGGGGCAAGCACGGAAGGCGATAAAGACCGTCAGCGGGGGGAGGCTGCCGGCATGGACACACGTCTGTTCGGCAGTGCCGGCGCAGCGATCGAGACTTACCGAGTCGTCTAGGCTGAGCGGGTTGTTTACGGAGAGGTCGCCGAGGACAGACCCGCCGGAGGCATATCCCCGACCGGAGCTGCTCCGACTGCTTGAGAGCGAGGGCCTTGAGGATGTGCTGTCGCCATGACTGCGGCTCATCTGCGCCAGGACTTGCTCGTCATCTTCCAGCCCCAGATCGGGTGGATAGTTGCCGTCCGGCGCCCGCAGCATGTCCCTGCGAAGCTCGGCATAATGGGAGCGGTCCTTATCCAGGACGGCCGTCCATGAGGTGGGGGTACTCGACAGATGCTCGGACAGAAAGAGCTTCCAGTGGATCCAGCGCATCGTCGGTCGGTCGCCGACGGGAACCTCGCCGCCGAGCGCCTTTGCACGAAGCGACTCTTGGTCGGAGGCGGTGAAGGAGCGGAAGATGTCGGACCACAGCTGCCTGCCGTCGTCGAGCAGAGATGCGGGTCATGACAGACGGGATCGTGTGGTCGAGGTGTCAGAGCTCGGCCCGGACCGATCCGTCTCTTGCATCGAGCATCGATAGTGCGCTCCTGGTTCCTGCTCACCTGATCCCGACTCCCTCTGCGTCATTGCCAGTCGGTTGCGCACGGATGGTCGGCACGCTACCCTGAACTGCTGCGAGTGGGTCGGCCATCTTGCGACGCCTGGATGAGGCCAGAGCGGCGCTGGGGTTGATATCGCAGCCAAAGCGGGTCTAGACTGAGCAGACTGGAGCGCCGGAGACGTCGAGCGGCTGGAAGACTCTGGCGGGATCGCTGCAGCTGGTCCGCCAGGCCCCGGTCAGCGAGCAGAGAAGAAAGCCGGTTGTAGCCTGCCGGCGAGAAGGAGTGTTGCTGATGATGGCTGGCGTCGTGATGGCGGGTCGACCGAGGTATATACCGGCACTCCCGAAGACAGGGGCCCACGACGTTTACCTGCTGGGCGTCGGTCACAGGCGGGCGCAGGCAGGCAGGCGAGGACCCTGAGCGGCTGGCCGGCGTGCCTCGCGACTTGACTGCCGAGCTGGAGCGGGCGGGCTGTCGCGCCGTCGAAAAAAGCGCGGGAAAAGCCGAGGCAAAAAGGCAGGCGGCGAGCAGCGGGGCAGCGGGCACGTCGCTCGGCCGCGGTCTGATGTGGAGCAAGCGCCTTCCTCGCGAGGGAGGCATGCACGGACGGGAGCTGGCCTCGACCTCTCAGGACGGATGGAGCCGCCTTCTGCCCAATTCCATCACCATCACCTTGCGCTGCCCCACAACGTCGCGCCGCCTCGTCATCTGCGACATCGCCTCTCGCACTCTTGACGTCGACGGCGCCGAACGGAGGACGACCCTTCCCACAGCTGTTGGGACCAAGATGACGGTCCGGATCGCGCCATCTGGATCCCCAGCGGCTGGACAGGATCAGGCCAAGGGGAAAGCAAGAGCAGTCGACAACGACGACGGCGACATTCGCAATGGCTGCAGCGACGGAAGCGCCACCACCGCAGGGAACTCGCTCGTGCTGCTTGCGTCGGCCACTCTGAAGGGACAGTCGGGCCGCCTCACCAACCTCCAATGGTCCTCTGGCGGACAGGCTCTCGTCCCGCTCAAGCAGAGTCTCGTCATCCTCACACCCTGCCTCGGCCTCCACCCGCAACTCTTCGACTCGGTGCGACTCTCCGACCTCGAGGCCCACCCGAACTGGTGGGACAAGTTCGACCACCTCATCCACTCGATCGAGTACCGCCCCATCTACGAGTCCGACCCGACGGTCCGCACGCGCTCGGCCGTCTCCAAGGATTACTCGGCCATCCACGCATCGCAGCTCGAGCAAAGCTGGCAGCAGGCAGAGTGGTCGCCACCTGGCCTGGGAGTCGCCGGAAGCTCCCTCATCGCTGCGTTGAGCCACGAGCACGACCTCTACATCATCGGCGCTGCCAAGAACCCGTTCGGCGCCGACTGGCGAGTGCTGCACGCGGTCGACGCCGAGCCCATCAGACGTCATGTTCGCAGGGAGCGCCAGCAGGCGAGCGAAGCCGGCGCACCGTCCGTCCCGGCCTTTTTTGCTCCAGATGTGCAGACGGGACGCCTAGAAAGCCGGGCGGGGCAGTTTCTGTGCGCCGCGTGGACCGAGGCCATCCCGCCGGATCGCACGCGACCTGGCAGCGCCGGCGACGCAAGCGAAGTCCAGGCGCTCCTCATCGCAGGCACTCGGTCGGGACACCTGGCGCTGTGGGAATGCTCGAACCGCGCGTCGGCTCCCCGGCTCGCCACATGCAGCCGGACGGGCTCTTGGGACGTGCTCGGCATCTGCGTTGGCCCGTGGCAAGCGGGTCGGGTTACGGGAACGATGTCGTGCCGCATCGTCACACACGACCGTCAGCGAGTCGCGATCTGGACCCTGGAGCGTGCAAGAGATCGCCTGGACATCAAGCAGGCTTCAGAGCTGCCCCCTCCGCTCCCGGGCCGCATGATCTCGGTCTGGAAGTGGTTCGGCGGCCTTTTGGTCTACGCGACGACGGGTGAGGTGCACGTATTTGATGCCGACAACGGCACAACGCGCACGTTCGAGCTCTCCGAAGGCGGTCGGGACGACTGCGATCCGCTGCGACCGGCGGCCAGCATCCGTCCCAAAGGCTCGGGGTCCTGCATCATCGCCCTTCAGGACTCGAGCCGGTACCTGGTGCCGCTGGACATCAACGCCGGAGCACCGGCCGGGGACACATTGGTGCCACTGGCCGCGCCCGTTGCCCGCGGCTACGTGCCTCTGTTGAGCGAGGTGCAGCCGGCCTACGACGCCCTTCAGCGGCTGCACGGCGAAGCTGCCGAATCCAGCTCCGCGTCTCCGGTCGACGCGCTCGAGGCATCCATACGCAGCTACGACTCGGTGGCGTCCATGGGCCTCACTGTCTCGGGGAGCTCGAGGTACAATCTCTGGCTCCGATCGCCGGTCGTGCCCGCAAAGGACGCGCGCACGCGTGCGGTGGAGCTACTCGCGGCAGCGCTTGCCTCGGTCGAGCACCTCGATGCTCCAACGGTGGCGCGCATCCGGCACGTACTTGCCCACTACCACGTGTCGTCCAGCCCGGTCGCCTTCGCCGACGGTCTAGGCCAGGTGATTGACCAGGCCACGGACGGCCTCGAGGACGCCCTGCTGCGTGATGGACCGACGTCCGACGATGCCACGACCACGGTCAGCCGCGACCATGCCCTACGGCGCGGCCAGGCGTGCCTATACGTGGCGCTGTGGCTGCAACGGGAGCGGGGCGACGCTGCGCCTGCCGGCACCGCCCGCAACGTCGACTTCCTCCGCTCGCTGCTTTTCGTGCGCCACCTGGCGGACAGCATGGCTGGCCTGGTGGACGAGGTGGAGCCGGCATCGTCGATGACCAAGGACGAGGCCCGGCGAGATGCGACGACCGTCACGAGGCTGGCCGCAGCTGCCCACGCCATGCTGTCGTCGGGAGGCGCGGAGCCGTCGAGGCCGAGGACGAGCCGCCTCCAAGGGACCATCACAGAGGCTGACGCCGTCCTGGCCCGTCTCGGGGTGTCGCTCGGCGCGATCCAGAAGCAGTGGGACGAGACGCTGCGCTCGGACGGCACCCTACAGGCGGGCGAAGAGTGCGCAGCCTGCGAGGCGCCGCTCTCGCTGCAGGTCGATGCCGCCAAGGGGACGGTCGAATGGGCTCGGTGCGTTTCGGGACACGTCTGGCGTGAGTGCGGGATGACACAGCAGATCCGGAAGACCCGTCTGGCAAGGCTGACCCGACCCGATCCGACCTTACCTTCTTGCGATCGATCGATTGCCCTCCGTCGAACAGCACGATGCGGCGTCTCGCTCGCACCGCTCGTCTCGGTCGGCGTGCGCGCCTGCAGCGGCTGCTGGACAAAGTCGCTCCTGCACGCCGTCCCGACCAGGGACCAAGCCGCCATGGACGTCGAGCCCGGCGTCGAGCCCCTCTCGTCGGTCCTCTTCCGAGGCCCAGGCGAAACCACCTGCTGGGCCTGTGGCTGCACTTGGGTACCCCTCTGAGACGTTCGAGGGGGCGGTGGGGCGGTGGCGCGGGTCGGTCCGAGTGTCTGTCTCCCGAGATCCGAGCTTTGCGAGTCGGGCTGACTTTGGCGGAAAGTCACCGAAGCGCTGCTGATGCTGGTGCTTGCCAGGCCGAGCTGTTCCCCGTCCTTTGTTCCCGGGCCGTGCCGCCTCGTCTCCGCCACCACCATCTCCACCCCACCCCTTATCCGCCCAGCTTGGCATAGCTATACCCCCCTGCACCATCCCAGCTACTCCCAACCATGCCTGCCCCCAAGAAGCGCCAGATCTCGATCGCCGTGCTCGTCGCCGACACGCCGGTCCAGCCGGTTCTCGACCGGAGGGGAGAGTGAGTCCGTCCCTGGCCGCCTCTGTCACCGCACCGAGGCAAGCAGGCGCTGAGGCCATCCGCTCTCGCTCCCTCATCCGCACACACCCCGACAGCTACACGAAGATCTACCCCGCCTTTCTGCAGTCGTCGCTCAACACGATCAAGCGCCACGCATGGCAGGACAGCGTGAGCCTGCACGTCCGTTGCTACGACGTGGTGACGGCGCAAGAGTACCCGGACCAGGGCCAGCTGTCGGACGGCCTGTGGGACGCCATCGTCGTCACTGGGTCGGCGCACTCTGCCTACTCGACCGACGAGTGGGCGGGCAAGCTGGCCTCGTTCCTGCGCGACACTGCCGAAAAGCACCCGCTGGTGCGCCTGGTGGGCATCTGCTACGGGCACCAGATCATCGCGCGCGCCTTTGACGGCAAGGTCGAGCTCAACTCGAAGGGATGGGAGTTTGGCACGACGGCGTGCGACGTCACCGAGGTCGGCCGCGAGCTGCTGGGTTACGGCGAGGGCGAGAAGCTCAACATCCAGCAGGTCCACCGCGACCATGTCACGGTGCTCCCGTCGTTCCAGGGCCACGAGTTCCTCAACCTCGCCTCGACCGACATCTCGGCGGTGCAGGGCATGGCCCACCGCTACCCGACCGAGGCGCCGCCGCTGCCCTCTTCGGCGGCCACCTCGGCCTACCTCGCCTTTGACATCAGCGACGAGGGCACCTCGTCGTCGGGCCCGTCGCCGCTGCGCTCCTGCCAGATCCTCACGTTCCAGGGCCACCCCGAGTTCGACGCCGAGATCGTCGAGCTCGTCCTCCAGGTCCGCACCGAGAAGGGCGTCATCGACCGCCAGTCGTCGGAAAAGTTTCTCGAAAACGCCCACAAGCCCCACGACGGGCTGCGCATCGGCAGGCTCATCTGGTCGATGCTCGGCGTCGAAGAGGCCCGGACCGACCAGGGAGACGAGATGGTCGCCGTCTAGACGGAGGCGCCCCCTTTGCCAGCAATGAAACGCACGGGATCGTCTATTACTGAGCCAAAAGCGCGGAGAGCGCAGACGATATGTTGACGAGGGGGAAAAGCGAAACGCAGGGTATTGCGATGCGAAAGGCGGTACTGGACAGTGCGGGGGTGCGGGGGTGCGAGGGTGCGACACGATGGTATGATCTCGGCGCGGGTGCGAGGCGAGGCCGGGATGTATGTCGTTGGGTCGGTGAGGGGAACAAGGGACCGCGGCGGGAGCTCAGACGACGGGCGTCGAGGTGCCCGAGTGCTTGGCGCCGTGGTGCTTGTCCTTCTTTGCCTTTTTCTTGTTCTTGCCGGCGGCCTCGGCGACGAGGCGTTCGAGCTCGCGGCGCTCGTCGTCGCCCTCGTCGGGCTGGACGTCCTTGTAGATGACGCCGAGGAAGGCGATGGCGCGGGCGCGGTTGAGGAGCACCTTGTCGTCGACGCCCTTTTCGTTGAGAACGTTGTCGCAGACCTGGCGCAGCACGCTCGACACCTCGAAGCGGGTGCCCCTCCAGGTGGCGAGGAGCATCTTGCCGCTCATGTCCTGCTCGAGGGCGCGCAGCTCGTCTTCGGGGATCTCGCCCTTTTCCTGCCTCCTGGCCAGCTCGTCCATCGACGCCTTGACGTTGAGCGCGCTGCCGAGCATGCCCCACGTCTCCTTGACGACGGCGCCTTTTTCCTTCATGCGGCTCATGAAGCCGCTGAGGCCGAGGAACTTGTGCTGCTTGGTCTTGATCCACGACGTCGACTTCATCAGGTAGACGTTGCCGATGGCGTGGAGCAGCTCGACGCCAAACGACTCGAGCTTGAGGTCCTCGGCCTCTTCGCGCATCTTGCGCTCAAAGATCTGCGTCTCGCTGTCGTCCTTGTCGCCCGGGTTCTTGGCCTCGACAAACGGCCGGATGCGGTCCTTGAGCTTCTGCGACAGCTCCTCGACCCGCTTCCGCTCATTTTCCTCCTTTTCCTTTTCCAGCGCCTCGAGCTTCTCGCGCTGCTCGGCCGTCAGCTTCTGCTTCTGCCTCGCCTCTTCCTTTTTCTTGGCCTCGGCGACGCTCGCCTCGGTGGCGCCCGGAGCCGCCGCAGCGGCAGCGGCAGCCGCCTCGGCACCCTCGCTCGCCGTGCTGGCCGTCGCCGGCGGCGGCGTCGCCTCGACCGACTCGTTGCCGTTGCCCTTTTGGTGCTCGGCCTTCATCTGCTTTTCCAGCTCCTCGCGCTCCTCGTCGGTCATCATGATCTCGGACGCCTTGCTAAAGTCCTTGATCAGGCTGATTTCGCCGATGAGGTCGACGAAGCGCTCGCCGCCGAAGAGGGAGCCGAACTGCGTTGGCGCGAACGGCAAAAGGGTAAAGGTGTCAGCACGGTCGACGCTCCGCCCAGCTCTGGCGACCGCCTCCCTCGGCCCACTCACCATGTCGGTCGCCTCCTTGAGTCCGACCTCGTCGGTGGGCTTCTTCTTGCCGTACTTGTCGTAGTCGGCGCGCAGGTGGTTGTCGCTGAGCACGCGGTAGGCCTCGCCGATCATCTTGAACCTGCAGTGCGGCGGTGCGCAGAGGAATAGGGGGCAGCGTCAGCAGGGCGCACGAAGGGCCACCGGATCACCGGCCCACTTACGTCTCCTCGTCACCGCCCTTGTCCGGGTGGTTCTTGATGGCAGCCTTGCGGTAGGCCTTTTTGAGTTCGAGGTCGCTGGCATCCCCCGCGACGCCGAGCAGGTCGTAGTACTCCATGTCGGCGATCTTCTGGCCGTCGCGGCTGATGTTCTTGGGCTTGGACTCGGCGTCGCCAGCCGGGGCTCCTCCCGCCGCCGCGGGCGCCGCCGTCTCGGGACGGGGCGGCATGGGCGGCGGTGCGCTTGCGGTTGTGGGCTCGGACATGGTGCGTTGTGCGTGTCTCCTTTCGCGGTCGGTGTGCTTTGGCAGGGGTCGCTGTGAAGAGCGGTCGTGGTCGTGGTGGTGGCGGCGAAGGAGAGCCTCGTCGACGGCAACACACAACAAAGCTTGCCTGGCCTCGCCTGCCCTGCCCGCCTTGCCGGTCGGCCTTGCCTTCTTTGTCTTGGCACGACGCCGGCGGTCCTGCCTTTGGATGCGTGGCTGTGCGCTGCCGCTCGCCGCCTGCCCTTAGCTTGCTTGCTTCGTGGAGTTTTTCTCGCCCCCTGTGGCCGGCCCGCCGTTGGAAGAGGAACCGTGCGCGCGCGATGACGAAAGCCCCCCCCCGGCCTCGAAATCCACCTGGCCAAAAACCTGCCAGAGTCGTCGATCCCGCTTTGGAAATTCCAGCCCCCGTCCCACCGACTGCGGCCGAGCGTGCGAAAAAACAAAAAATCGCCCCACCCCCGCTCCCTATATAAACCTCGCCAGCACCCGCATCCCCACATTGACACCCCACTCTTCTGGCCTTTTGGCTTGTACGTACCCACCTTGCCCCTTTCCTCGCCGTCGCCATCACCATCGCCGTCGCACGTCGCTGACCCCTCTGACCCTTTCCTCCCTCTTCGCACATCCACAGTGATCATGTGTAGTATCTGTTCTTCATAGTTTGATGACTATGACCAAGGGCTCGCGCCCTTCGTTTCATCAACCACTTTTTATCTACCGGGTCGTTTGATACGAGCTTGCTCGTATCGACGACCGAGCGTGTCCTCGTCATTACACCATCGACGAGAGACGCGCGCGGGCCCCCTTCACTTTTTCACCTTTTTGCTTACGTAAGCAACGCTCTTTATCGGTTCGGCCCGTAATTTCATGCGCTTTTTTAAGGCTTTTCCGTGGTTGGAGAGGCTGCCTAGTGTGCCTGGCATCGAACGCCCGCCGTGACTTGTGGGCTTCTCCGATCCCTTCCCGACTCGACCCTGACCACCTCTGTAGACGTCCTACTCCGTCGTTCGCGCCTACCTCGGCGACCTTAGGTCGACGGCGAGTTCGGCTTCGACACGGTGTGCCCGCCTCGTCGCAGTTGGGAAAGCATGGTCGGTGTGGACGGCATCGGTTCCGAGTGAGGCGACGCAGCTGCGACCGGCTCTGACCTGTCCGCCGCAAAAGGGCCTCGAGGCATGAAACCGAGCTAAGCTTGAGCTTGTGAGCCAGCAAGGCGCGGAGAGGTGGATGTTCTGCCGAGGCGGCTTCCATGAAGAGGAGAAGGCAGGCGCCTAGGGAGGGATGCAAGCTTCCGTCGCGACCACGGCGACGGCGGTGGCGAGGAGCGGCGTGCAACCTCAATCGACGACCTCGACGAGTCACACCGTGCCAGCATGAAGTCAGGTCTCTTCTGCCTGCGCGCTTCATCTGGTCGGTCCGAACGGCCAACCATGCGAGGTGGCGCACCGCAGCGCCCCGACCGCCCGACGGTTGACCACCGGGCCCCACCATCTACCGCCGCCGCCGCCGCCGCTGTCGAGTGCAACGTGCCGCCGCCCTGCTCAGGATGCCTCATCGATGGTCCGTATATAGTGCCGCCGGCTTCGGCCCTCGAGGGCGTCGCAAAGGCGTCCCTACGCACCTCCTCATCGTGCCTCTCCGCCTCCCTGCCTGCCGCTTCGGGCCCAGACGCTCCTCTCCTTGTTCTCCTGGCCACTGCTGCCGCTCCGCCCCACCGACGCTCATGCCTTCTCTCACCGGCTCGGCCCGTGGGCTCGACGCGCCAAGTGAAACCGCGCCGAGTGAAACGTACCTCGGCGACGTGGTCGAGCATTTCAAGCACAAATCCGAGGCCGAAGATGCTGTCAAGGACGAGTCCTCGACGATCAGCACCGCCGCGCCCGCCGCGCCCGCCGCGCCGCCGGCTCAGCTCGAGATCCCCGACGGCGGGTTGGCCGCCTGGCTCCAGGTGGTGGCGTCCTTCTTCCTCTTTTTCAACTCGTGGGGCCTCGTCAACACCTACGGCGCCTTCCAGACCTACTACGAGACGGCGCTGCTCGAGCGCAGCGGCTCCTCGGCCATCTCGTGGATCGGGTCGATCCAGGCGTCGCTCCTGCTCATCGTCGGGCCCTTTAGCGGCCCGCTCTTTGACCTGGGCTACGTCAAGACGCTCACCGTCGGCGGCACCGTCCTCATCGTCGTCGGCATGATGACGACCAGCGTGGCCACATACTACTACCAGGTCCTCCTCGCCCAGGGCATCTGCACCGGCCTCGGAATGGGCGCCATCTTTATCCCCAGCATCGCCGTGCTGCCCGCCTGGTTCTCGTCGCGCCGCGCCTTTGCGGCGGGCATCTCGGTCTGCGGCAGCAGCCTCGGCGGCATCGTCTACCCCATCGTCTTCCGCCGCCTCGAGCCCCGCATCGGCTTCGCATGGACGACACGCGTCATCGCCTTTGTGGTGCTCGCGACGCAGGCCGTCGCCATCGCCCTGATGCGCAAGCGTGGGCCCAACACGGCCGCCCGCAGCCTCATCGACACGTCGGCCTTTACCGAGCCCGCCATGCTCTCGTTTGGCATCGCCGGCCTCCTCGCCTTCATGGGCCTCTACGTTCCCTTCTACTACATATCCTCGTACAGCGTGGCCAAGATCCCGGGCATGGACGGCGAGCTGGCCTTCTACCTCGTGCCGCTCCTCAACGCCGGCAGCGTCATCGGGCGCATCATCCCCAACTTTCTCGCCGACAAGACGGGCAGCATCAACATGTTTGTCGTCAGCTGCGTCGGCGCCGCCATCACCGCCTGGGCCTGGCTCACCATCGACCGCGTCTGGCAGGTCGTCGTCTTTTCCATCTTCTACGGCGCCTTTTCCGGCAGCTACGTCTCGCTCCAGGGCCCCGCCGTCGCCATGCTCACAAAGGACAAGAGCAGGTTCGGCGTGCGCCTCGGCACCTTTTGCCTCTTTTGCGCGGCGGGCATGCTCGTCGGCAACCCGGTCGCGGGCAAGCTCCTCAACCTCGACACGGGCGACTTCCGAGGCGCACAGATCTTTTGCGCATCCCTCATCGTCGCCGCCACCGCCTTCATGGTCGCGACGAGGTTCTTTTGCGTCGGCACCGCGTTCTTGGTCAAGGTCTGACGGCCGGCGACAGCGTCGATAGTTGCCCTCAGCAGACTCTGCTTGTACTTTTCTCGAGGCCGACGCCTGGAAGACATTACCTCTCCTTTGCTCGCAAGTGAAAGATGGGTGTGATAGCGGCCTTGACCCGCGCTGTGTGTGGGCAATCGACAGGAGCCCCCGACTGACCAAAGCACAGACTGCGAGAGATGTGCAGCTGCATGAGCACAGCGCAGAGGTGCTACGACATTGAATGAAGCAAGCAGTGCATCAGCACATCAAGCAAGCAAGGCCTCGGCGCAACAAGCAAGCAGAAAGACAGGCCCGGAAATTTGAGCCCCATCTTGAGCTTGCTCCTGCAACACTCAAGACTGCTGCAGCTGCAAAGTGCAACAGCCAGGCTTCAACAACAGACAGAGCAGCCTAATCAAGGTGTGCTTGCTGGCAAGCACCATATGAGGTGCAGTTCAGCTCCAAGTGCTCCTGGTGCAACAGCTCCTTTGCCACCCTGGACATCCTCGGACGGCATCTGCCTCATCGGCCACTACTGGGGCAGGTCAGGCAGTCTTGGGGCCAGTGGCATCCGGTACAACCTCTGCGGGGCGCCCAGCAGACCACCCTCAACATCCTGGGGCAGGCGCTAACAAGCATGTTTGTCCGACTCCTGGCTGTGGCCAGTCCTTCAAGTGGAGCCAGCTCCTCAAAGGTCACTTGCTCAACAGGAACTGCCAGGGTCGAGCAGAACGGGCACTCGCAACAGCCACGCTTGCCGCCCCAGCTCCGAGGGCCCAACCTGTCAACCTCACCCCACTGGCAACATCGGCAATGCTGTCTGCCCAGGCATCGTCTTTCCTCGCCAGCCCGGCAGTTTGCTCAATTGACCCTGGCGTGAGGACGTTTGCAACAGTTCTTGATGTGAACAGGGAGCAGCTGCTTGAGGTTGGTGCAAACGACCAGGCCCAACTCTTCCAGCTGCTCCTCCACATCGAGCAACTGAACAAACGGGCGAAGGAGGGCAATGCAAGGCTGCGTTGACTCTTCGCCAAAGGATGTGCTGCAGCAATGCTGGTGTGCTGGCACAGCAAAGCTTTAGATCAGAGTTGAAGCAGGCGGGCCTGATGCAGGCCAGGTGAGCACGGAGATGCTGCTGCAATGATGGTGTGTTGAGCAACAGCGCTTATCAAGCCACACACTCAACACGTCCACCTTTCCTCACACTTTGCCATCGGAATGTGGGCTGGAGCAGCGTGGTGCAGGGCCACCCTCGTCCCTCACTGATCTTCACGCCCCAACCTGCAACAAGCGCGAGGTGCCCGCACCTGCCTTCAGCCCTTCTTTCGGTGGCGAGCATGCCATACCCTTTCATTGCAACGCGACAGGTGACGGGAGAGATCGAGGAAGAGAGACGGAAGACGAGCCAGCTCGTCGTGCTCAGTCCTCCTCGTCGTCTTCATCCCGCCTCATGCTGACGGTGACGCCGCTGCGGTTCATCTCGTCATCATCATCATCGTCGTCGTCGCCTTCCTCGTCGCCTTCGCCCCGCCCTCGCTCGCTCTGGTCGTAGCCGTTCGCGTGCTCGCCTCTCCCTGGGCGGTACGGTTCCGGCGCGCCCGCCTGCTCATCGGCAATGGAGCGAGGCCCTCTTGGCGGGCCAGAGTCGTTGCTTGCCGAGAGCTGGGTCGACTGGGAAGCAGGCTGCGGCGTCCTCGCTCCGCTGTCTTCGTCGAGGTCGCTGGGCACCGCTGGTCGATCCTGGGGTTTCGGGATGCGGTCTGGCGGGTCAAAGGATGAGGGAAGAGTTGCAAGTGGTCAGCGGGAGTGCGGGCAGTGTGTGACGTTTGCGGGCAGTCAGGGCCGGCGACTCACGCAGGAGGCCATAGCCTACGCCGCAGCCCAGCAAGCCCTCGCCGCCCCACTCGCGGTTCGGCACGATGATGACCTCGCGTGTGTGGTCGTAGTCCGAGTTGTAGACGTAGAGGCGCAGTGCCCGGTCGACGTGAGCCTCGACGAGCTCGTAAAAGTCGCCTTCGGACTTGAGCGTGCCGCCGGTCCAGCCAATGACAAAGTCTCCAAAGGGGACGAGGCCCGCCGACTCGGCTGGAGAGCCCTCGAGGATCTCGAGAATGTGCCAGACGTGCGAAAGGGCGAGGGAAGGGTTGCAGAGCCGAAGTGAGAGGCCAAGAAGTGAAGGTTGAGACGAGGCTGAGCCCGCGGTCGACGCCTCGGACCATGCGCGGCTCGGAATGATGGGAACCTCTGTTGGCCAGGGCATGAGCGGAGCAGGGCAGCGTGCGGGAGTCGAAGCCGTCAGCAGGGTGTGCTACGGCCTCGCAGGACGGCTCCCATCCCTCTTTCGATGCTGTCGGCTCACCTCTGAGTTCCTGCCTCTTTGAGCTCCAGACGTTGAGGATGACCCTTGTGCCTTCGCGCTCCTCGAGCGACTTCCAGGCGCCGAGCCCGGCGAGAGATCCACCCGAGGCGGGATTTGTTGAATCGGAGCTGTTGCGGTCACCGTCCACGTCCTTGGATGGGTCGAGTGCGACTCCGTCGATGCCGACACAAAAGTCAAAGAACGGCTCGATGCCGGCTAGGTGAGCTGGGCTGCCCGCTGCGACGCGGACGACGTGGTAGCCCTGCTTGGGGGCTGTTCGTTGAGCAGGTCGGGCAAAGGGTCGGGTCAATTGGACTGAGGTGCATCGTCGTCAGATCAGTCATGCCTGCACTCACCATCGTCCGAATCATCAAGGCGGGGTCTTGATTCAGAGGCGCCCATCTTGGCTGCGGCACAGCGATGCGGCGTTCAATCTCAGCGAAGAGCTAGACGTTGCCTGTGAAAGATAGGCGGAAGCGAAAGACAGGGTGATTGGGGTGGGCGCGTACGGCGAGCAGGAGTAGTACGTGGTGGTGGTGATGGTGAAGGCGGGTGTGGGACGTGGCTCGAGCGTTCGGTTGGGTCGGAAGACGGGTAGCAGGCCTCGGGCCGCCGTTGAGTTTGCAGCACGCACCCCGTGCGGACCCTTTTTTCCGACTTCCGCGTTCTCGCTTGGGACGGCCAGGCAGTGATCGGACCTTGCCTGACCTGCTCGCCCTCGCCCCGCCTGTCCCTGTCCCTGTCCCTGGCTGCGCGCTTTGGCTCGCCGCGACCCGCTGCGCCCGCCCGCT